AAATGAAAGCAGATGGTTCAATTGACAAGTATAAAGCAAGACTTGTAGTAAAAGGTTACAGACAAAAGAAAGGTTTGGACTATTTTGACACATATTCCCTTGTAACAAGAATAACATCCATCCGTATGCTTATTGCTATAGCAGTTTTGTATAATCTAGAGATACATCAAATGGATGTCAAGACAGCTTTTTTAAACGATGATCTAAATGAAAAGATTTATATAGAGCAACCCGATGGGGTTGTAGTGCCAGGGCAAGAAAATAAAGTTTGTCGGCTTGTAAAATCTCTTTATGAATTAAAACAAGCTCCTAAGCAATGACATGAAAATTTTGATCATGCTATGCTTACTAATAGGTTTAAGATAAACAAATGTGACAAGTGCGTCTATGTTAAAAACACTGACCAAGGATATGTTATAGTTTGTCTTTATGTGGATGACATGCTTATCATTAGAAGTAGTCAAAATATGATCAAATCAACTAAGCAAATGTTGAACAAAAGATTTGATATGAAAGATATAGGGGTCACAAATGTAATATTAGGAATAAAAATTACTAAAACATCTAATGGATATGCATTATCTCAATCACATTATATTGAGAAAATTCTTGATAAATTTATCAATGATGATATGAATGTAGCTAGAACAACTGTAGACATCAGTCTTTATTTATCGAGAAATAAAGGTAATGCGGTGTCTCAGCTAAAATACTCCCAAATCATTGGAAGCCTAATGTACCTAATGAATTGTACTCGTTCTGATATAGCTTATGCTGACAGTAAATTAAGTGCAGGGGTTTAAGGATGAGCTTTGTTTTAATGATTACTTATATCTTGATTTAGACATAAAAATCAAGACGAGTACTAGAGATACTCACAATAAGAATCACCTACATGAGTGTTGAACTGGGGCCGGTTCTATGAGAATGAAGAGGCTAAATTCTCTAGAAGCACTCATGAACAACCACGAGTGTTTAAGGCCAAAATGAACACAACCGTGATAACCACGATGTGTCAGAAGATATTTTTTGTGAAATCTATTGTCTTGGCTTACACAAACGGCTGAACAATTCAAGGCATTGCGTCCATTGGTTAGCTAGTAAGTCCGATAAGTTATCACTAAGGAAGGTTCAAAGTCAAAAGTTGCCTATCCTGATGCAAGATATTTTTGATTTATACTCTTTTGAGAAATTCTGCATATTGTTGCATTTCTGTTGTCATCAAATTCCATTCATGTGAGGGATTGTTAGAAATAGTTTTTGGAAAAAAAAAAAAAAAAAAAAAAACAGATTTTTCCTCAACTTTGGTCTATTTTTTAGGCGCGATCCATGCCCCAAAGTTGGCGGTCTAAGTGGTAACGCATTCTATGCCGCATTATGATACACGTAGTATATTTGATTGCTCAAAACTATTATCAAGTAAATGAGAAATTGAAGCCAAAGTGAGCTCCATGGAAATGAAGTTTTTGGTAGAAATTCCTTAAAGGTTTGAATTAAAGACTTGTCCCACATTGGTTTGATGGGAAAACTTTTATGGGTTTATAAGGCTTGGATTTGGAACTTGGGGTAAGCTCTAAGGGGCACTCAAGTTTTGTAGAGGGGGAGGTTATGGGCAAAGTGGGTTAAACCCATTGGACCTAAAATAAACACGCGCACCGCCGCCATTCATGTAGTCGGTCGGACGGACTGGTTTGGGCTTGGATGTGTGGTGTGAGGTTGGGTTGGGCTTGTCCGGCCCAATACTTATCTTTTTGGGCAAAAAACATTTGAATTTATTTTCATATTTTAATTTTTTGAAAAATAAATTCTGACCGTTTGAATTTAAATTTCCAACTTAAATTTCAAACCCAAACAGAACCTTCCTATACAGTCCCATATCTGTCCGAACAGATTCAGTTATCTGCGCAAAATACAAACTGAACAGATTGTATCTGCTCAAACAGAACCGAACAAGTTCTATACTTGTTCAAACAGGTTTACACCTGTTTTAATTCAAATCTTAACAGCCACATTTTCTCCTATAAATAGACAGACTCTCTATTGATTTTTGTCATTCAGAAATTTCGTTCTTCTCTGCTGCTTCAATCTCTGCATTTTGCTGCATTAATTTTTTACTGAAAAAGAGTGCAAATACAAAGGGTGTGTTTGGTAACGTTTACGTTTTAACTTTATATTTACAAAAATTTTATAAACTGGTTTTTGTTTATTTTTAGAAAAACATAAACTACAAACGCGTTTGGTAATTGACAAAATGTTTAAAAAAATTTAAAAATATAAAAAAGAGTGAGAAATAGCAAGTGGCGGCGGAAGACGGTGGTGGAAAGTGATGACGGTGGGTGGTGGGTAGCTGGTGGTGGCGGTGGGTGGGTGGTGGCGGTGGGTGGGTGGTAGCGAGTGGGTGGTGGTGGTGGTGGGTAGGTGGTGGTGGTAGGTGGGTGACGGATAGTGGGTGGGTTGAACAATAGCTTGCAATCTGTTTCAGTCCCTTAATTAACTAATAAAACCGAAATATTTGATTGAGTACTGAGCTTTTTCTCAATCTTGAACAAACTAAACCGTATACATATCTATACTATATATTAAGTAAAAAGGAGTTTTTAACTCCAAGTCTTGTGGGAGTTCTAATCTCTCAATCTAAATTTCTTGATTTTTTGATTTTAAAAAAAAAAATATCTTAGCAAAAGGTACGAAAACTTGTTTGGTTTGCCTTTTTTCAGAAATGGTTTTGGGAAATTGTTTTGGGGAGAGAGTTTTAAAAAAAGTGATTGATTTGATGGTATGAGAGAGAGAGAGTGATTTTAGAAAGAAGCAAACCAAACAAAATTTTGAGATTTTTTTTTAAAAAAATTGTTTGGTTTGATTATTCTTGAAAATTTGTTTGTAGAGATTTTTTTCAAAAATTTTTCCCAAAAACAAACCAAACAATGTTTTTAGACAATAATGATGATAGTGTTGGTTGAGACAAAAAGAACAGTGCGATAGTTGGGCAAAATAGTGTTACTAGTTGAGAGAAAATAAAGAAGGAAGTGAGATAGAATAAAAATTAAAATAAAATGTTTTTTTTTTCAAGATGGTGATAAAATGTTTAATTTAATGAAGGTTAATATATAGTAGTAGGTGGGTGGTGAGTGGTGGTGGCAGGTGGTGGTGGGGGGTGGGTGGGTGGTGGTGGTGGTGGAAAACGGTGGTGGAAAATGGTGGCAGGGGGTGGCTAGTGTTGGGTGGTAAAAAAAAAAAACTCAAAACTCAAAACGGAAACACATTTTTTGTGTTTTCATTTTTTGGCCAAATTTATAAACTGAGACCACTGATTTATAAATCAAAAATTTTACCAAACAAGTTTTTATTTGAGTTTTTAAAATTTTTGTAAATATAAACAGAAAACTGAAAACGTAAGTGTTACCAAACAGCACCAAAGTGTGTTCGTTGTGCAAATAGTTTGTAGCGCTGCTACTGTTTGTTGTTGATCATTTTATCCTGTGAGATAGACGTTCATAATCTGAAAGCATCGTGGAGAGGACGAATCTGTCTTAAGGACACAGTGTTAAACACTGGACTTGATCAGAATTTTATTCAATAAATACATAATGTAAGTAATTAATTTACTTTCTGTTTTATTTATTTATTTATTTTGTTTTTGTAACAAAATAAGAATCTATTGTTTTATATTATTTTCTTTACTGGTTTGATTTTTGTAATCAAACAGTCTCTCCCCTTTTTTTATTTCTTTTGTTTGTTGTTAAATATATAAACATTATTTATTCTTAATACAATGAAGATTGGATAACATATCGATATACTCAATTTCCAATGGTGAGTTCTACCAAAGTTTTAAAATGCGGTCGCAACCATTACATAACGGCTGTGATGGTTACTTCCATCCATTATGGCTATAACGGTGTGACGAAAATTCACATGTGTAACGGTCGTTTCGATATTACGTAACGGCCATAATAGTAACGTAAAAGTCGCAACGGTCCATTACATACTTTTACAATATTCTGAATAGTTTCCTTTCTAAAAAAAAAATCAACAAAAAAAACAAAAACTTACACAAAAAAAAAAAAAAAAAAAAAAAAAAAAAAAAAAAAAAAAAAGTTTTTAAAATTTTTTTTTAAATTTTTTTTTTTTTTTTAATTTTTTTATAAATTTTTATTTTATTACATTAGCATGTAAAATATATATATATATATATATATAAATAGTGGTTGTATTTATTTTTATAATCATTTTGTTTACTAACGTTTAATAAATATATTTCATTTATCTTATAAAATCTTAATATCAGGAATCTTAAAAAAAAATTTCCTAAAATCAATAGCTCAAAAATAATTTTTGTTTATGGCACAATTTTTATTTTTATAATCATTTCATTTATACTTAATTATAAATAATTTTATTTAGTTAGCTCTAAAGCAATGTCTAAAAAATGCCTCAAAAATAATTTTTGCTTATGACATAATTTTTATTTTTATAATCATTTCATTTAATAATTTTAAATATTTTTTATTCAGTTAGTTCAAATATTGGTCAAAAACAATTTAAAGACATTTAAAATCAATTATTTTTAAAGTCATTAACTATTGAAATAAGATATAAAAACTCTGGATCATACTTAAAAACTAACAAAAATTGATCAAAACTTATTTTAAACCCCAATAAACGTGAATCTTAAAAAAAAAAATGCGTATCGGTAAGTTTTTTTCAAATTGTGTAAAAAAATAAAAAAAAAAATTACGATTTTAATTACCGCAACCGTTATACTACAACCTTTACACCCCATAACAACAACCGTTACAACGACCGCAACTACTTTTTAAAACATTGGTTCTACCGAAGGGGTATGTATTAGATTCAACCACAGCTTGAGGGAAATATCTTATAAATAAAAATTCTCAAACATAATTGCAAATTAATAAATTAATAGAATACCAGAGAAACTAGTACTTAGTACAGGTAAGAACTGTACAAAATGACATAACATTCAATTGCACTCTCACTAATTTGCAATTATTTGTCTCATTTCTAATTTATGTGATATTTTCCATTCTTTAAACTAGAAATGGCAGATTAGTAGCAGCTAAACCACAAATAATTTTCTTTTTTTTAGATCAATCTGTAGGTACAACATACAAAGCCCTTGCCAAGCCTCTGCCCCAATGAGAGCCTTTGACTGACAATTCACATATTGAACAACACAATCATATACACATAAAATGGAAACAAATGACAAACCACAATGGCAGAAATGTAGCCCAACTCAATGTGATAGTTTAGAGCCAACTGGGGCTTCAGGACAAGATCCACATGAAGATTGTGGACCATACAGTGAGCGATAGGCAAGCGACCAGGTAAGTCCACAGTAAGAGCACTGAACACTCCTCTTGTGCCACATCAAACAGTTGGGTCATGGTACCTGCATCATCATCATTCAATCTCCATAATTACTAGCTCATATTAAAGCAAAGAGTAGCGTCAGTCTATACGATGATTTTAAATACCAGTATCAATTATGTAATAGTATCAGTGATACGGCCATACGTCGGCCAATATCAGAGTATCAGTCAATAACAACAACTATATTTGCAAAAATATGAAGAATGGATTGAATGCAACAAAAGTTGGAAGTGGAAGTAGAGGTACAATATCATTTACTTTATAATTAGAAAACCAGTAAGTGATCTAGATATATCAGAATTTTTTCTAACAATGAGGCCTTACCAATATTCATGGCAGGTGGTAGTGCAAATTGAATCATTAGCACGTAGCGGTACAACGGATCCAATGGAAGAAAGCCAAGACTGTCGGCAGCTTTAACTACACCAATCCCAATCACAGGAAGAATCACATAACGCACACAGATTACAGCAACAATCACTATTGGTTTTAAGTTTCCTGCTTTCAAGCCTGTTCAGTTCATAGGACAAGTGAAATTTGTTAATTGTCTAGTTTCCCCATTATATAGTTATGTTAGTATTGACTAAAACATTCAAAGCTCATTCTACCTTGGCCGTGTTTGGGAAAAAAAAAATTGTGGTTTTTTTTGTTTTTTTCTACTAAAAGACAAATTGGTTACAAAACCAAAAATAAAATAAATCCAGACAAAATATCACATCAAACCCCAAAATTATTTCACTTTTTCTCTCACAAACATTACATCCAACCACAAAAAAATCCAACTATCTTCTCAAACACATAAAATTTTTTCTCCAATAATATTCTACAACTAAAAAAACCTACAAAAAATCCACTTTCCAAACACCCACCTTGTGTGAGGTTGCCTACTAAAAGACAAATTGGTTACAAAACCAAAAAAAAAATAAATCCAGACAAAATATCACATCAAACCCCAAAATTATTTCACTTTTTCTCTCACAAACATTACATCCAACCACAAAAAAACTCAACTATCTTCTCAAACACATAAAATTTTTTCTCCAATAATATTCTACAACTAAAAAAACCTACAAAAAATCCACTTTCCAAACACCCACCTTGTGTGAGGTTGCCTCCTAGTATAAGGGTGATGCAAGGTATTGTTCCATTCCTGCACAATAAGTTATTCTGCAGTTTGTCAGCAGGTAATAAAACTTAAAAAGTGATTTGGAGACATTAATGCAATTACAAATATATAATATATACAAAAGTAATCATTTGAAACTACTAAAAATTACCAGAGTTATACAACTCTAAACTTCGTAAGAGAGTTCAACTAAAGTGATAAAATGAAGAGTTTTCTAACTTAATTGTAGTTACAAGGTTAATTTCACTTTTATCCCCTATACTATCGTCATTTTTTTATTTCATCCCTAAACTATAAATTGCATCTATTTAGTCCTTAAAATTTTATGATTTGAGTTCATATGGTTCAATTGGACACAGTATGTAAAAATTAACAATGGTAGAAACCTAATCCAATGAGCAAAAGAGTTATTTTTACAATTTGAAAAACTTAAACCGTACAATCAACCACTGGTTTTCTTACTCACAATATATTAGATAACTTATCCTCCATAACCAAATACCCATGTTCTTCTCCACTCCTCATTTCAAAATAATGAATGCAAAAAACAAGCGTTAGACTGTATGGTTTAAATTGTTTTGAATTTTGAAATGACTTTTTTGCCTATCAAATTAGGTTTCGACATCTCCAATTGGACCACATTAGCCGAAATTATGAACTCTATAGACTAAATAGATAAAATTAATAGTTTGAGCATGAAATAGAAAAAAATAACGAGTGTAGGAGATAAAAGTGAAATTAACCCTATTTATAAAAGAAGCAGCACATTCCACCAGTTCTCGATTACTTGTCATGAAAGATAAACATACCCAAGTAATTTGATGGAGTCCTGGATCACTCTAAGAGGTGCATTATCACCAATTAAAAGATTCTTCACCCATGGGACCGCACCACAAAAGAATCCAAGAATCTGATAATGGATGGAGGAACTATGTTATTTATGTTTTTGAGTAATGGAAACAGTAAATCTCCAAATTCATACTAAACACGCAAATGAAGCTGAAAGTTTGAGAAAACTTACAGCACCAAGTGTAGGAGGTGCTAATAGCTCCTCCAGTAACTGTTGGAGAATTGTCATTGCATTACCCCAGAATGAAACATTCACCTTCTCCAGTTTGCTGGCAGACACTTGGGGAACAATCTGCAATTTGTGATTTTAAAGAAACAATTAGGAATGTTGCTTTTGATGCACTTTTCTCCTCTTCTTATTCTGTGCTTGGATCATGGATTTGGGTGGCGATTTGGATAGGGAAAGGGAAAGGGAAAGGCGAGGGAAATGGAGAAAATTTTTAGCTTATATTTCACTTACCTTTTCCTCTCCTTTTCAAATCTCTACCCAAATCCACGATCCAAACACAGTCTTAATGACTGCAAATACTAGGAAAATGAAACAAACTGAACTTACATCTTGATTTTCAGTATCCTCTTCTGTAGATATTGTTGATGGTGCAACTATAGCAATATGTTCTTCAACTTCTCCCTCCAGAAGATGAGTCTTCTCATTCGCATCTGAATCCTTGTTTGGTACCTTTGAGACCTCCTCAGCTGCTTGAAGAGCTTTGTATTTCAAGGCTGAGCTTCGTACTAGTTGGTAAGTGTAAGTCCAAATGAAGAAACCACCAAGCTGCAAAACATAAGGGAAAGGTGAGAAAGACAGATATCTATCACAAATAGGAATAACAAAGTTGAAATATTTGAGACTGTATGATGTGATTTGAGCAGATTCTACTGATTTGAATCCCTACTCATTTTATATCGACAAATGCCAACATAAATAGGAATGCTTAGGAATTCTGTTCCTAGGTTTACTAATCTTCTGTTCTATCGTAGTTTGCCATTGCATAATAGTTAAAAGTCTTGGTACCATAAACAATTCTATGGAACAACTTCTGCTGATGACGGAACCATGTTAGGTTTCATACATTACGCAGTTGAACAGTGGGCTACCGATTTGAGCAGTGTTATTAAAGGTGATAGGCACACCAAGGCGCCAAGGTCTCCCGGGGCCTAGGCGCAAGGCAAGGCGCAAGCTTCACCGAAGTGAGGCGCACCTAGTACGGGAAAAAAATATATAATTTAATATAAGTAAATAATTTAATGTTCAACATAAACAAAATGAAATGTTAAACATTTAGTGTTTTTTGGAGCTTAGTAATTAGGGCTAATTTCTCTTCTATCATTGATTTGGGGTTGAATGCCCAATGTATTGGCATCTGTAATAAGAGTAGGGATCTTCTGTAACTGCATCATATTAAATCAATAGTTAGATTTTAAACAAAACCAATTAATGCAACAATAAAGAAGCCCTCAAGACTCAAGCCTCGGGCCAATCAGGCACCTTATCACAGTTGTCTGGCCTGAAATACTACAAGGCACAAACCTTGGGCCTGCACGGGACTTGGGCCTAAGCGCATGCTTAGCACCTTATCAAAGTCGCCTAGCCTGGAACACTACAAGGCGCAAACCTTGGGCCTTGATGGGATTTGGGCCTAGGCGCGCCTCTAATAACACTGGATTTGAGGGTTCCTAATGATTGTTAATCATCTCATTTCATATTTGGATGATCAGTGAATGAATAGTGGGTATAAAAAATGCGAAATCGACTTACTGCCATGGAGAAAGATGAATATGAGAGTCCAACAGAAGTACAAATTTTGTGATCACCAAAAGGGCTGCCATCCTCGCTACAGATTGCAGGGACAATTATCAAGAGAAGGTTTCCCAAGTTTCCTGTTCAACGAACAGCACAATATGACAAACCAATGAGGGTTCAAAATTGTATCCCTAAATGTAGAGAATGAGCAGGAAGCTGTCTATCTGACAATTACCTGATGAACATGTGGCAATAATCAGTCCTTCCAGATGTGATTTTGGCTTCAGTAGTTTCACTGCTGTCCATCCTAATATTCCTCCAAAGAGAAAGGTTAGACCGACATTTACAGGCATAAACCACCTGAGGAGATGATAAAAACAAATGAGTTAGGTATGTTAGACATGACACAAGTGACAAATTTTGACGGTTTCCTAGTATGTTTTAAGGCAGCATTTAGCATTTATTTTCAGAACTGCACCATGAAACTTGAACTTTAAAATTTGTTATGTGTTGTGCCAGATAGAAAATGCCTAGCTGTCCACAATAGAATCAAAATATTTAGTTGAGTCATTACCATTTGAGAGGTTTTGATACAATATAAAACAGGCATGTGTTTTTTTCTTTTTTGATGGTAACCAAATTACAGAGAAATCAACTAGCAAACAGCATCAAAAGCACCCATGTTAATTGCTGTAGGGTCAAATCTTTTTGTTCACATAATAGGACCCACTGGATAGTCCCAGCAAATTCTGGGCTAGACATTGCTATACATGATATTATGTGGTTTGCACACGTCCATTATGTACCCCAACTTAGGCCTCGTTTGGGAACAGACTATTTCAGTAACTTTTTGACTTTTTACGAAAGGATGTGCAGAAAAGTAAATAGAGTGGTGTGATAACTTATAGTGACTTTTTGGCTAAAATGAATAGTTGACAAACGAGGCCTAAGCATTACCAATTAGAATTTTATTGCAACTTTTAAGATTGGTGATCAAATCATTTCAAGCCATTAAATAGAAAACAAGGATCTTCCAAACAGAAAAACTGCCCAAAACTTTTCTGCATTATATGTTGTAATAATGCAAGTTACATTGAAATGGAGCTTACTACAATTTTTAAATGCTTTGTAACTCTACCATTGTGGAGTACTTATATCTTACAACTAACTAATGTATATAATTATTTCCACACCCATGTTTCATTTTGCTCTCTAGCCCCAGGGGCCAGAATTAGGGGCGGGGCTATGTGTAATTCAGTGGTGTCAATTAACACCACTGAACTTTCAAATTTTGTTTAAATATATATGAAATTTTGTTTAATAGTTTTGGATTTTAACAAAATGACCCCAGTGTTTTGAGCTATTTATTGTTTAGTGATGTCAATTTTAACAAAAAGACCCCAGTGAATCTAGATCAATATCACATATATCACATATATTTGGAGCTATTCATTGTTTAGTGGTGTCAATTATAGCTCAGTATTCGTTCATTCATTTGCTCCATCAACGCTTCATTCTCTAACAACTATTGTTGCATTGCCATTGATGCATTCCTTCATTTGTTCTCTCTTTCTCCCTCTGAATGACCCCACTGAGGGGAATTTCTGGCTACGCCCCTGGCCAGAATCATCCCAGCACCCCTCATTACCTTGTAGGACTAATATATTTGTGTCAATTAGATACAAAATAAATAATAATAATAATAATATGCTTTTCAATTTCTTGCTTATTTTAAGCCATATCTTCCATAATTCCCATTATTCTTTAGACCTTGTCTTGATAAACAAAGAAACGGCAAGGAATTTGTTCCAAGTATCCAAGGTTTCGAAAAGTGGTTGCAGTCGCCGCAATGGTTGCAATGGCGCAATTGCGGTTGCGGGGTGTAAAAGTCATAGTGTAACGGTTGCGATAACCGCAGCCGTGAATTTTTTATTTTTTCACACAATTTGAAAAAAACTTACCGATACACATATTTTTTTTCCTTTCAGAATCACATTTATTAGTGTTAAAAATAGATTTTAATCAATTTTTGTTAATTTTTAAGTATGATCCAATATATTTCATATTTTTAAATCATTATAAAATGAGCTTTTTACATTTTATTTCAATAGTTAATGATTTTAAGAATAATTGATTTTAAAAATTATTTTTTACCAATACTTAAACTAACTAAATAAAAAATATTTACAATTATTAAATAAAATGATTATAAAAATAAAAATTGTACCATAAATAAAAATTATTTTTGAACTAATGATTTTTTTTTAAAAGACAGTTTTTTAGACAACACGTTACAGCTAACTAAATAAAATTATTTACAATTAAGTATTAAATGAAATGATTATAAAAATAAAAATTGTGCCACAAGTAAAAATTATTTTTGAGCTATTGATTTTTTCAAAGACATTTTTTAGATAACACATTATAGTAACAAATATATAAATATATATATATATATATATTTACAATTAAATATTAAATGAAATGATTATAAAAATAATTACAACCATTGTTTATATATTTTTTATTTTACATGGTAATGTAATGAAATAAAAATTAAAAAAAAATTATAAAGAAAAAAAAATCCATACAAGTTTTTTCTTTTGGGTTGAATCCCTTGAGTATTCTTTTTTTCTTATAAGATTATTTATTTATTTTTTTTAAAGGAAGCTATTCAAAATATTATAAAGGTGTGAAACAGTGTGTAAACAAGCCGTTACGGCCTTTACAGTACCGCTACGGCCATTACGTAACACCGAAACGACCGTTACACATGTAAATTTCTGTCACACCGTAAAAGCCGATGTAACGGGTAGCACCTATCACCACAACCGTTACGTAACGGCCGCAACCATTACGTAACACCGTTTTTCGAAACCTTGCAAGTATCCTACCAGGCAATGAGATCTGGAAAGGTGACAGTCTCGGCCAGACTTGCAAACATAAGGGATGGAATGAACACAATGAACACAATCTGTAATCACATTTGAAATTCTTGTCAATACCATGTTTCTTGAAATGAAGAGAGCTGACAACATTCTTAGGAAAGTAGAGACATAGGAATGTGTAATTGAGAGTGGAAGGGAAACTTTCTGAGGGGATCTTACCTTGTTCAGGGACTTCCTTGTAGCTTCGGGAAGAAGATTGAGATAATTAGTTGCCATGGAAGCTCCTAATGCGCTGATTATGAGCACCTGTAGAATAGGCATGGAAGCCACCCCAAAGAATGACCAGAAACCCATCTTTTACTCTTTGTTGTGAACTCTACTAAAATTTAAAAACAAATAAAGTAGGTTTGCTCCTCCAAACACTGAAATCTACTGTTGCTGTTGTCTCTGTGTGCTAGAATATAATTGATATATTCCTAATAGCAGAGAAGGAAAATCCTGCAAGGAAGAACCAGATAGAAACCAAAGAGATTTAATCACCAGAACTAAAACAGAAGATTACAAGGAAGTTCAGCAGAAGCATGTACGATCTTTTTAACCACGTAAAAAAGTGTATTCTTAAGTGTTAATTGTTAAGGGTCTGTCTTCATGTAAGAGAAGGAACGAACCATGAAGGTATAACTACCAGTTACAACTCGAATAACAACTTAATGTAATCAAAATCTACTTACCTCACAGTTAACTTCATAATTTAACCGTAGAGGATCTAGATTCTTGTATATGTGCACTTTACTAGAAGGTTGGCCAATCGGAGGCATGTGTTCCACACTACCCATTAAAATTAGGAAACAAAATTTTTCAATGTCTCAAAGTTGTCAGCTCACCACTAGTTTCAAAAACTTAAGTTGCTAGAAAAGAGGTCTAACAATGCATATCAGGCTCTCCAATACCTTCCCTCATGCGCAATCCTGCCTTTCATGTAGAGATGCAAAAAATCCTAACATGTAGAGAAACATAATGCAAATGGAGAAACTTGAACCCAAAACATCTCAGATGAGCGCTGACAATATGTTAGCTCATCACTAGTCCCAAAAGTTTAAGTTGTTAGAAAAAAGGTCGGACAATACATATCAAGTTTTCCAACAAAAGTCACTTAATGTGGAAGCCTTTAAACAAATGGCATCCAATTATTCAGCCAGTGATCATTTTCATTGAACAAAGTCGAAGGATTGTACCTTTAACCAGTGACCCAATGGACCAAAAGCTATATCTTCATTTTTTTTACTGTATATGAGAGGATTTCATTTGTTTTCATGCTAAGACATTGTCAAAGTTTAATTGTCACAATTTGAAAGAGAGCCAGGCTGCCACACATTGAATAATTCAAGACTCATCTAATTCATTTATTATTATGGTCATAAATGATGCATTTGAAAACTCTTTGTTTTTTTTGGGGTCATAATATAAATTTCATTTAAAAGACGCACCAAGGGGGTGCACAAACCCATATATGAGAATGAAACTATACCTACCAATTGTATTTCAAAACCTATTCTAAATTTTCTACAAAATTCAAAAATTGATTCAAGAATGAATTGACCATCCTAGAAAACCAAGTCATTTCATACCCATGTAAGAAAAAATTGTAATCCCATACATAGGGGTTGTTTGGAATGTCCTAAATAAGTGTACTTTTTGTCTTTTTGAACTAAAAAATTGAGGAAAAAAATATGGATGTTTGGGTTAACTTTTTGACTTTTTATGGAAAAATGTGTACTAAAAAATTATATAAATTAGTGTGTAGGAAAAAATTAGGATTGGGAGTTGTGCAGTCGTAATTTTTGACTTGATGAATAGTGATAATTTTTTAACTTTTTGAGTAACTTTTTGACTTTTTAACTTTTTGGCAACTTGCCAAACTTGGCCATAATCTATTTTTCTCGCTCTGGAGACACACGGCGATGGGGTCCACGTTAACAAATATATTGGAATTCATTCACTTCTGTTTAAGTAAGTGAAAATGTGATGAGAAATAAGATTATGCGTCATATTCTCCAAAGACAGTCTAAAGATTATTAGGAAAAACAACAAACAAGAGCGTAATGGTTCAAGCCTATGGAGTAGAACAAACCTTATCATGTCTTTGAACTTTCAATTTCAACTCTTATGTGCAACAAAGCCGAGCTCATGAACAGCTCGATAATTAATCCAACTTGAGCTTATTGCACAACATAATAAGGAAAACTACTTGAATTATTAAATTAACTTGTTATTTTCATTCAGCCCTCGATGCTTCGAGAATAATTTTCAAATTAAAAAATGAAGAATTGAATATATTAATTAGCTTTATTGGTTAAATTATATTATTGGCAGTCCATCTTCCAATAATAATAATAATAATAATAACATGCCAATGGGTAAATAAATTTGATAACCTTTCAAAAAGTAAAATAAAATATTTATATTGCAGAAAACTTTTCTGTTAAGCAATTATCATTAGATTATTCCAGAAGAAGAAAGCAAGTGAAAGCAGTTGGCCGACTAAAAGCGAACAAGGAAAATAAAATAATACCAAATGAAATATCAAAAATGCTTGGACACTAATTTTTTAGGGATTTGGAGTGACTGCGGCCTATTTCGAGTTCATTTAAATATAAGTTAATGCATAGCAGCCACTCCAAACCCCATGACATGTAGGCCATGTTTGTTTGGGCGGACTGGATTAGCATTTCCATGACTAATAGTCCTAAGACTACAAATTCGTTGGATTATGTGTCCTATCTTAACTAATAGTCAAGTTTAAAATAATTAGTCCGTACTTCAATTGTTTAATTAAACATCGAATTAATAATTTTATTGAACTATTAATCCAATCCCAAGCTCATATCCACCCAAACAAACATGGCCTAATGCACTATGTCAAGGATGAGTCCACACCCTTCATCCCTCCTCTCCTCTCTCTCTCTCTCTCCCCCGCTGTATTCTCACTTCCACTTTATTAGAGTCAAAATAGGAGTGTTATATTGGTGGATGTATCGCATAAATATATATAAATAAATAAAAAAATACAACAATTCATGTAAAAATTAACACTTACGCCATGTTTGGTTAGGATTTGAGAAAAAATTTAAAATATATATATATATATATAAAATATGAATAAAATATATTTATATTTTATTTTTTATTTTAAATCATTTTACAAATCTCTCAACTAAACAGTATTAATATATATATATATATTCATATTTTTTCTTGTTTGATAGCTAGAATAATTAAAACAATTAACTGAATATTATAATGAAATCGAAATTGGAATGACGTGTAAAAGCCCAAAGAAAATACATAAAATAAGATGACATGTAAAGGTGCAAGTAAATTCCATTAAAATATCATTTCAGTAGAATTTGAAGAAATATTAAAAAATAAATCTATAAACTTCTTTATCAAATTAAAATTATTTTATGAAGTTTTACATATTTTTCCTTTTTTTTCCCATATATATCCACAGAATAACATAAAAAAAAAAATTCCAAAAAAATAGCCTAGAAAGGCATAGATCAGTACAAAAACTGAAACCATTATAAACGAAACAGAAAAACATGAGAATATTTGAGAAAATTTCAGCTCGGAGAAGATTGAGCAAAGATATATATACATAGAGAGAGAGAGAGGAATTAAGAGAACCTGCAATCAAGTATGGGGAGAGAGGAGTGAAAGGTAGGTATCATCATCGCCATCGCCGTGGGAATAGGAAGCAATAAGAGTGGCGCCGATAGTGAAAAAGCCATTGGACTCTCTCTGCTTTACTCTGCTTTAAATGGAGACGTTGGAGAGTGTTTGGACTTGATACGTGACCTATTCATGTTAGATTTTTTGAATTTTTATTTATTTTAATTATAAAAAAATAAAATAAATTTTTTAATTTAACAAGATAAAACATTATATCTAAATTATAATTATTTTATTTTTTCTCTCATAAAATTTTAAAAAATAAAAAAAAAATTATCTCAAACAAGATTTTTTTAATCCCAATTAAAATAATTAAAAAATCAAAAAACTAATCCACATGAATTATTTATTTTTTAAAATTTGTTGAGTAGAATATTTATATAAATAATTAAGATAATTAAAAATTAAAAATTATATATTTCAATCATATTTATTTTATAAAAATAAAAGATAAATATAATTTTAAAAATAATAATTCATTTTCATAATCAGACATCCGGAGAATTTCCTTTGACAGCCATTTATCCCTTTCGTGGACCGGGCGAATAACAACAGAGCACAGCCAAATTGTCCAATAGTACACCTGTTAGTTGGGTTACTTTCCTTCCTGTTAGCTTTGTTTCAGTATTACTTTTTAATGTTCTTGCTCCTCTTGATCATTGAAAGTTTTATTTTGTTGTTAAAAAGTGTCTCATTATCTTAATTTTTTATATAAATATTTTATTTGATAAATTTTACAAAATAAATTGTTCAAAAATTATCGAAATTAATCCCAAAATTAGCCTACCAAGGCCAAACATTATCTCAAGTCAAGATAATAAATTGAGAGAAGTCAAACCCATGCATATTGATAACATAATAGCAAGGGGTTTGTCTAGTTTAAAAACCAACATATTTTAACCTTTTTGCTTAGTTTAAGTTGATTTTTTTCTTGTATGATATGTATAATTCTAATGCAATATTAGGCTTGTAAGGTCCCGGTGTTCCAGATTGGGAATGGAGAGGGAGTTCCTGAGGTATAAAAGTAAAAATATGGACCCTTATATAGTATCGAGGCCTTTTCTCGAGTGGTGAAATCCCTAACAGAACTCTCCAATTAAGCGTGTTTAAACTAGAGTAGTTCTGGGATGAGTGACCTATTAGGAAGAACAAATCCCTGTACGGAAGAACAAATCCCTACAGGCATGGCCTAAAGCCAATAATATCGATGATTTAGGAAGAACAAATCCCTGTAGGGAAGAACAAATCTCTGCAGGCGTGGCCTAAAGCCGATAATATCGATGACATATGAAGGGTGGGAGCGTTGCAAGGGTAATGACTCATACCACATATGTATATTTCTAATGCAATAGTAACAACTAAATTAATACATTAAATAATTAAAAATGATAATAATAAAATTAAATAATTATTATAGCATTATTTTTCCAACAAATAAATGTAAGCCCTGTTTGGTGGAATTTTTCTTAAGATAGAAGATGATAATAAAAAAACATAAGTTAAAAGTGTCTCTTCCTTGGCTTCCAAATAATTAGCTTATTTAAGTTATTTTTGTTGGAAAAAATAATTTTATGGTGACTTTAATGTGAAATTAAAGTAGGTTCCAACCATTAGTTGATGTGTGATTAAATGAGTTTAGATTCTTTATAATAAGATCTTTACACCACAAAAAGAATGACCAAAAACTATTAAGATTTGAATGATAAATTAACTCATTTAGTTGGCCTCATAAAAGAGGTGTTGGGAAAAGTGGCTGCAGGATTATACACAATATACATGTGTATAAAATCTGGTAACTCCTTTGTATTCATGATGGATTAAAGCCATCAATTTTGCAATTTATGTGTTGGGAGTTTTGCAAAATTAAAACCTGCATTTGTTGTAGGAGCCTTTTCCTCTCTCCCTCCATTTGTATAAAATGAGACCCTCTCTTTCATTCTTTCACACTAGAAAGTTTGCTCTTCTTTTGCGTTCAAAGTTTCCTCTAGACATTTTTATTCTTCTTGTGTGAGAGAGTGCTACCATTGTTGGTTCGCCAAAACTAACAGAAGGTGTTTCTGCATTAGCCGGTCTAAACCGTCATTTCCTAGGAGACAGAAGTCGACGTACCTCCAGCACCCACGATGATGCAGCTAATCTATTTTAAGGAGATTGTGGTACTATATAGGTTTCGGTTTGCTTTCTTTACTATTTTATCGTATTGTGTATTTATGCGAAATATGGTTGTAATATTCAGCATGTTTTTCTTATTCTGTAACGTAATTGATGAATCATGAATCTATTTATCTTGTTTAATTTATACAATTTGTCTAACAATTTCTACCTAATAAGTTATAAGTAAAAATTGCACTAAACAATTTGACGTAAACTTTTAAATTAAAATAGGCTATAATCACTGTATGGGAGCGAAATATCCTCTGCTTTCCGTACACCTTGTACTCCAAGCTTTTCTTGATGGCGTCTACCTAGCAACACAGAAACGGTGAGCTGCCCGGCGGTGGTGTGCCGGATAGACCCTCCGACGATCAAGTCAGTCCACTTGAAGAAGAAGACTGTTAGAGAGAGAGTATTCTTTTTGGGGAAGAAATTGCATACCTCTAACATTCGTCTTCCACCATATTTCTAGGCTGGCCATGCAGCCTCAAGATTGCACGCGCACTACCTCTGCTGTCCTTCCCTGGACAGGTGGCAGTGCTCGCCTCCCACCACCTTACGCGTGTAAAGGCTTAGTCCTTCCACTAGTACACGCAGAACTGTCTAACGGTATTGAGGCATGCGTGGAGCAGATGTCCTCTCCCTCGCGCCATTGGCCCAGGTGGCACACCTGACCGTAGTACCACGACCGACCTATCTCTTGCGAAGAACTGTCACTACAGGCACTCAACCAAGCTATGCCCCACCGGACTGCCCCTTGGCAAAGGGGCAAAGGGGTGATGCTCATGGGCCGGGTTGGTATTGACCGGTTTATCGTGGCATACCGGTCGCGAGGCATGCCGGCCTCCGTCCGTTCTACCTTCATCCGAGGTTATCTGGAATCTGCCCATCTCGGCTAACCAATCAGAGACGTGACATCCCTCAATTATCCATAGTTTAGCCCGAGCTACCCGTAGCCCGGTCTCGCCACTTGGCTGTGTGCCCTACCAAATGTTTGCTAGTCGCAGCTCAGCCAGGCTTAGTTCACGCCCGGTCAGCCAATCTTTTCGACCGAGCAAAATAGACCCACCGGCCCTCTCAGTAGAGGAAATAGCACGGCGCCGTGAGGTCTGTCACGACCCACCCTATCTTAGCTCGGCCGTACTAACAGCGCAAATCTCCCCTCTCAATTGCCCCTTAATCCCATCCGAGTCATCGTGATTGGGATTATCTCCGTGACCAAGCCAACGGTTAGTGAATTGCATCCTCTCCTGGCCGAGCATGGTTGGGGCGATATCTGTCGCCGAGCTATATCATTTGGTCGGTCATTTCCACTGCATTTTTGTCAAGCGTCGTACCACTGTACTGACAGACGCGTTCTCAATGCCACGTGACTTCACGCCATTGGGTCGTGTAGCCAGCTGTTCCGCACGCGCAGAATTCAAACGGCGCAGCCGTTTGGGTTTTCTCCCCTTTTTTATGCACAAACGAAGAGTCAATTCGACTCTTACTGTTCATCTCTCCTTTGAGCCTAAACCCTAACCTCATAAACTCCATTTCCTTCACCACCGTCGCTGCTGCCTCTCATTTCACTCGCCGTTTCTGTTACTCCTGAAGCTGCGTTCAAGCTCGCGGGGACTTCTTCACTTCGCATCCGTTCTTGGTGAGTTTTTTACCCCTTTACTACTTTTTCCTATAGGCTCTTCAATTTTTTTGTGCTTTCGTTCTTTATTTTCTTTGCTTGGAACCTTCCAATATCTCCTTGATGGGGGGCCTTGGCACATCATAGGGCAAATTGTAATTGGATGGGTATATGGGGCCATCGTGCCCCCGTTTCTCCTTGGTTCGAACAAATGAACCTTGAACTTAGGATAAACAAGATGAACAGGATGAACACTGTGCACGACCGAGCTAAATGCTCATTTAGATCCGTAATTATGCCTTCAACCAATCAAAAATGGTTTGTGGCTTATTGCTGAGGTCTCAACCGAGTTAGACACTTAGTTAGATCGATATGTAGGAACTCGCCGAGCTAAAACATGAGATCTCCACTTTAAACCTTAATCGAGCTGTAACTTCTTTGAATCTCCGTTCTGGACCTTACCCGAGCCAGAAGTGGAGAGTTAGAACCGAACTAGGAAATCGACCAAGTAGCATAGCCGAGGTAGGGGTCGAACCGGCCAAACACCAATAATCCCTTCACTGAGCCAATTCCCATAGGGGCCGCGCAATTTATGCCGTGCTAACCCTTGGAATTATTTTTTAACATGCAGAACAAATAGGACCGACCAATCCAGTCCAGCACTAATTAGTGGAGCTCAAAGTCCGAGCAGACCCACCAACATTTTTGACCGAGATATACACTATATCAAATAAAACCGAGATAGATGGGGAAGTACCGCTACATGGTTAGCTCGCCCGGTGCGATGGCCGAGTTTCGCAGGGATTACAACATCCCAGATGACGTTATCTTAGAGCTCACCAAAAAAGGAGACACCCCTTGGGGAGATCTAGACCGGTGCCCCTTTGCGATCGTGTGAATAGTAGAGGGAGGGCTCCGCTTCCCGGTCCAGCCCTTGATCTGCGAATTTTTGAGGCAGACAAGGCATCCTCTCCTGGCCGAGCATGGTTGGGGCGATATCTGTCGCCGAGCTATATCATTTGGTCGGTCATTTCCACTGCAGTCTTGTCAAGCGTCGTACCACCGTACTGACAGACGCGTTCTCAGTGCCACGTGGCTTCACGCCATTGGGTCGTGCAGCCAGCTGTTCCGTACGCATAGAATTCAAACGGCGCAGCCGTTTGGGTTTTCCCCCCCTTTTTATGCACAAACGAAGGGTCAATTTGACTCTTACTGTTCATCTCTCCTTTGAGCCTAAACCCTAACCTCATAAACTCCATTTCCTTCACCACCGTCGCTGCTGCCTCTCATTTCACTCACCGTTTCTGTTACTCCTGAAGCTGCGTTCAAGCTCGCGGGGACTGCTTCACTTCGCATCCGTTCTTGGTGAGTTTTTTACCCCTTTACTACTTTTTCCTATAGGCTCTTCAATTTTTTGTGCTTTCGTTCTTTATTTTCTTTGCTTGGAACCTTCCAATATCTCCTTGATGGGGGGTCTTAGCACATCATAGGGCAAACTGTAACTGGATGGGTATATGGGGCCATCGTGCCCCCGTTTCTCCTTGGTTCGAACAAACGAACCTTGAACTTAGGATAAACAAGATGAACATGATGAACACTGTGCACGACCGAGCTAAATGCTCATTTAGATCCGTAATTATGCCTTCAACTGATCAAAAATGGTTTGTGGCTTATTGCTGAGGTCTCAACCGAGTTAGACACTTAGTTAGATCGATATGTAGGAACTCGCCGAGCTAAAACTTGAGATCTCCACTTCAAACCTTAATCGAGCTATAACTTCTTTGAGTCTCCGTTCTGGACCTTACCCGAACCAGAAGTGGAGAGTTAGAACCGAACTAGGAAATCGACCAAGTAGCATAGCCGAGGTAGGGGTCGAACCGGCCAAACACCAATAATCCCTTCACTGAGCCAATTCCCATAGGGGCCGTGCAATTTATGCCGTGCTAACCCTTGGAATTATTTTTTAACATGCAGAACAAATAGGACCGACCAATCCAGTCCAGCACTAATTGGTGGAGCTCAAAGTCCGAGCAGACCCACCAACATTTTTGACCGAGATATACACTATATCAAATAAAATCGCAATAGATGGGGAAGTACCGCTACATGGTTAGTTCGCCCGGTGCGATGGCCGAGTTTCGCAGGGATTACAACATCCCAGATGACGTTATCTTAGAGCTCACCAAAAAGGCAGACACCCCTTGGGGAGATCTAGACCGGTGCCCCTTTGCGATCGTGTGAATAGTAGAGGGAGGGCTCCGCTTCCCGGTCCAGCCCTTGATCTGCGAATTTTTGAGGCAGACAAGGCATTGCCCGACCCAAGTTTCAAATAACACTTACAAAATAATAAACGGGGTCGCCGAGCTGAACCGGAGGCTCGGTCTCAATCTCGATTTGGTTGAAATTTTCCATCAGTATAGTCTTAGTAGAAATAAGAGAGGGCTTTACTGGTACCTCAAAGTGAAGAAGGGCCGAGCAAAATTCATAGAGGGGAACCCGGACAAGGAGACTAACGACGACGACTTCTTGTGGGTGTCTGATCGCTATGAGGACACCGAGGCACCCATACCGGGATGGTATATTAGAAAGGATTTTGGCAGTGCCGGTGAGTTACTTGGCTGACCGCGCTATTTGCTTTATGCATCAATTACTTTCCGTACCGATCTAACACTAGCCTTTTTTTTGCAAATAAGCACCTAGCAGCAGACTACCACCAGGCCAACCAAGAGGCCATCAGAGCCCTGTTGCGCCATTCTACCGAGGAGAGGGAGGCTTCGAAACTGCTCGGCTTCGAACAGACCTACCACTACATTGCACCGCGCAAGAGCCGGGTTACCAACTTTCTGTGTGAGCCATCCCCAGAACCAGATCCAAACCTACCACCGATCAGGCTTGTTCCCCTCACCGCCGAGCAAGAAATGGCGAAGATTAGGGCAATCAAGTCCATGATTACTGGTGAAGAGGGTGAGTCCCAAACACCGGAGGCAACCGGGGGGACATCCTCCACACCCGCTGGGCAACAAGAAGGGGCAGTACTGGCACTTGCCAGCGAGCAACCGGCTGGTCGGTCCAAGAAGCGGCAGAGGAAGGAGCAAACCGGGCCGCGTCTGGCAGATGAAGATTCTACCGATCGTGTCTCCACCGAGCTCGGGGACCAGACCGAGCAACCGCAGACCGGCAGATCCAAGGGCCCAACCACCCCTCCGGTCTGGGCGCCCGAGTTCAAATATCAGGGCCGAGCAGTTTCTGCTGAAGACTCGGTCTACGCGGACAAGGACTACTCGCTTGGTTTCAATTTGACCAAGGGGTTGATCTTGCCCGCTGATATGAAGAAACACGACGAGCTTTCCGACCTCAAGGTCCTCCGCTCGGCGGCAAAATCCATAGTGCTGGTAAGTTCTCCATTCTTTGCTTCGGACTGTTTGCTCGGTTTTTGCTCGGTTTTTCGAATACTGACGATCTCTCGCTTGTTTTCAGGCCGCGCAAAAGAACTATTTGGCCCACGACCGAATGATCAAAGTGCGGCAGAGCCTGCGGGATGCCATAGCTGAGAATAAGGAACAAAAGGCCGTGATAGCGAAGCTTAAAGCTGCGCAGGAGGCAGTTGAGGCCGAGCGAGATACCCTGAGCCAAAAGGTTGACCGAGCTAACAAAGACAAACTTCGGGCCGTGAAGTCGACGAAGGCTCGGTATCTCGCCAAGCTGAGGAAACTGCGCGATGTGCACAAAGCCGAGAAGGACAAGGCCGTAGATGATGCAGAAGACCGGGGATACGCGCAGGGCGAGAAGACTTACAAACGGCAGGTCCAAGCGACCAAGGACATCTTTTTCCAGTGCGGCTGGAAAGCTGCCATGGAGAAAGTTGGTCTTGGTCAGGATTCTGACATGTTCATCAATCCGCCTACTACCTATATCCCGGTCTACATGCAGGCGTACTCCAAGGCCACCCAAAACCGGCTCATCGCGGAGGCAAGGAAAGAGGCCAAGGAAGAAGCTGCCACCGCGAAACAAGCCGAGCAAAATCCTCCCGAAGCATCTCCAGATGCGGAGGAAGTGGCTGATCGGGATGTTACCGTGGTGGAAGACACTGACGATGACGCCGAAAAAAACCTGCCCGAGCACAATGTGGAGGAGGCCGAGCAAACTGTGCAAGTCGCCGAACAAACGGTTGACGTAGAGTTGGATTGACCATTTTTTTTTTTTTTTGAATGTAACCGGGCTATGCCCCCCGTCTTGTACTTAAATTTCCTTTATCAATGAAAATTTTCGACTTTTTGCTCGCTCATCTTCTATTGCTTTTTGGCTTCAATGTGCAAATTTTCCTTAAACGTGTTCAAACTTCAACTAGCAGCTCGACTCCTTGAAATTTCAAATGCACCTTTTAAAATGCCGAGCAAAATCTGCTCGGCCTTGACGGTTTTCAAACGTTATAAAATTCCAGTACTTCAATGTGACCCAACAAAGTCAGCTCGGCTTTTTATCGGTTGGACAAAACACCAACATGCTAAATCTGGCCGAGCAAAGTCAACCCGGCCGCTACATTAGGCAAAACACCAATGTTTCATTTAGGTTGGTCATGTCGCCAACATTTCTTTTCCGCCGAGCAAAGTCAGCTCGGCTTTTTATCGGCTCGTTTTCCATATTGGATAAGACGCCAATACGCCGTCTGGGCCGAGCGAAATCAGCTCGGCCCTTACATTGGGCAAAACACCAATGTTTCAGTTTGGCTATGACGCCAACATTTCGACCGGGCGAGCATATTCAGCTCGGTCCCAATGCGAATTGGTCCATACGCCAATTATGTCGTCGGACAATGCAACTGTTTGTGCGGTCTGCTTCCATCCCGACGAGTGGGAATCAGTCCGGTCCCATTCAGGTCAGTCCTCTTGCCCCTGGCATTCATAATTGCCTTGCGTCCTTGCGAATTCATTGTACAAAGATGTAATACCAAACAACAAGAGGGCTATTTTTCATTACAAAAACATTGCTATCGTTTACATCGAGTGTCAAAAGGCTAAAGGTCTAGAAAAGCTAAACAACACAAGCAGATTACATCCTAAAAGTAAAAGACCTTAAGGTTGGCCGCATTCCATGGTCTGGGGACAGCCTTGCCATCTAAATCTTCCAGATGGTATGCCCCTTTACCAGCAAAACCAATCACCTTGTATGGTCCTTCCTAATTTGCACCGAGCTTTCCTTCGCCGGGGACCACCGTATTGCCAAGCACCTTCCTTAAGACCCAGTTCCCAATCTTGAATAGCCTGGGGTGTACTGCCTTGTTGTATTTTTTGGAGAGTTCTTGTTGATAAACCGCTATGTGGACTAAAGCCCGCTCCCTTCTTTCCTCGGCCAGGTCTAACTCCAGCGCCACTGTTTCATTGTTTAGATCTGGCTCCGAATTCTCAGACCGGATGGTTGGCATGCCAATTTCCAGCGGGATGACGGCCTCCATGCCATAGGCCAAGGCAAATGGTGTCTCTTTGGTCGACCGCCTTGGTGTGGTGCGGTATGCCCAAAGCACATTAGGGAGTTCTTCAGCCCACTTCCCCTTGGCCTTCTCAAGCCGCTTCTTCAACCCGTCCAGGATGGTCTTGTTCGACACCTCAGCTTGACCGTTGGACTGTGGGTAAGCCGGTGTGGAGTTGTAGAATTCAATCTTCAACTCTTTGCAAAATCCGCGAAAGAGTTTTCCATCGAATTGAGTGCCGTTATCCGAGATGAGGGCCTTGGGTATACCGAAACGGGTGATGACATTTTTCCATACAAACTTCTTCACATCCTTTTCCTTTATGGTCGCCAACGGCTCGGCCTCAACCCACTTCGTGAAGTAGTCAGTGGCGGCGATGAAGAACTTGCGATTGCCCGGCGTAGCTGGGAGTGGCCCAACAATATCCAACCCCCAAAGCGCAAACGGCCAAGGACTTGTGAGAGGGAGCAAATCTCTAGCTGGCTGGTGGATCTGGTGGGCGAACTTTTGACACTTCTCGCACCTGCGAACATATTTTTGCGCATCTGCCTGCATGCGCGGCCACCAATATCCCTGAGAGATTACTCGGTAAGCCAAGGATCTGCCCCCAGTATGGCTGCCACAGATGCCCTCGTGTATCTCGTAGAGGAAAGCCTCCACCTTGGTGGGGTGGACACATTTCAAATATGGCCCAATGAAAGATTTTTTGTACAAGGTCCCGGACGGGGAGAGCCAAAACCGCTCTGACTTTGCCTGGATCTTATGTGTCGCCTTCTTTTCTTCTGGTAGAATTCTATCTTTCAGGAAGGCGATGATAGGATCCATCCAAGAAGGGCCCAAGTCGGTACAGAGTACCTCGGCTGATTCTGGTTCCTCAATGCTTGGACGGGGTAAAAATTCTATCATCAAGGGGTTGGGAAAAGCTGTCTGGACAGAAGCAAGTCCGGCCAATTCATCAGCCGCGTTGTTTTCCTCGCGGTCGATTTGTTTCATCCTTATTGCAGCGAACTTCTTGATCTCTACGCATACCAGTGCCTGATACTTGGCCATTCTTTCGTCCTTTGCCTCATACTCCCCTGAGACCTGATTGACCACCAACTTGGAATCACTGAATACCATAAGGGTTGTGGCTTTCATTCTCAGCGCGCTTCTTAGTCCGGCAAGGAGAGCTTCATACTCAGCCTCGTTGTCGGATGCTGGGAAGCCGAGTGTAATTGCCTGCTCGATGATCAGCCTGTCCGGTGAGTTCAGCATGATGCCCAGCCCGGCCCCATGTCTGTTGGATGCCCCATCAACGAAGAGTTTCCACATCTCGCCAATAAACAGCTTCCAGCAATCAGAAGGGTTCTGGGAGCTTCTCAATTCCAAGTCTCTGGTCGGCTCATTCTTGCCTCTTTCCTCGTCATGGTTGACTTCTTCCTTCATCGAGTCGTTCGTCTTTGCTGATTCGGTCGCTCTTTGCCCTTCCTCCTCTTGCGCACCAACACTTGCTTTTGTTGCCAGAACCATGGGTTGTGCTAAATCCGCGCCAACCAAATCAATTGGGCAGACTGGATGCATCCCAAGGGCAAATTCCGCCACAAAGTCAGCAAGTGCTTGAGCCTTGATTGCGGTGCGCGGTCGGAACTTGATGTCATATTACCCTAATTCCACAGCCCATTTCAAAATTCTCCCAGTGAAGTCTGCCTTTTCAAAAAGCACTTTGAGCGGGAACTCGGTTAACACAACTATTGTATGGGCATGAAAATAGTGTGCCAGCTTTCTTGACGCCATCATCAGGGCCAGCGCCAATTTTTCCAACAGAAGATATCTCGTTTCGATTGGGAGCAGAGTCTTGCTTACATAGAAGATCGGTAGGTGCTGGATACCTTCAGCACGAACCAATACCGCGCTGACTGCGTGTTGAGAGACAGCCAAGTAGAGGTATAACTCTTCGCCCGGCTGAGGTGTGACCAAAAGGGGCAATTGAGAGATATGCTTTCAAGTCTGCTAGTGCACGGTCGCACTCGTCATCCCAAAAGAGCTTGGATTTCAGAGTTTTAAAGAAGGGCCTGCAACGATCAGAAGACCGGCTGATAAATCTGTTCAACGCGGCTGCCATCCCGGCAAGATGTTGCACGTCCTTCGTGGAGTTAGGACGCTCCAGGTCTTGTATAGCCTTGATCTGTGATGGGTCAGCTTCAATTCCTCGATTTGTGACCAGAAAACCCAAAAACTTCCCGGTGCCGACTCCGAAGGCGCATTTGGAAGCATTCAAACGAAGCTTGTGGCGTTTAAGGATAGCAAACATCTCTGTTAGGTCGGAGAGGTGCTGAGCTTTCTCCTTACTTTTCACCACTATATCGTCGATGTAGGCCTCCATGGTGCGGCCCAACATTGGGGCGAACATTTTTGTCACCATCCGTTGAAAAGTCGCCCCGGCGTTCTTTAGTTCGAACAGCATGACTTTATAACAATATAAGCCTCTGGGGGTTGTGAACGACGTGATCTCTCTGTCTGGTTTATACATGGCTATCTGGTGGTAGCCGCGATATGCGTCTAGGAAGCTAAACCTCTGATGGCCAGCGGTTAAGTCCACCAGCTGGTCGATTCGTGGGAGGGGAAAGTTATCCTTGGGGCAAGCTCAGTTGACGATCTTGTAGTCAATGCAGACTCGCCACTTGCCGTTCTTCTTCGGAACAACCACCGTGTTGGATATCCACCGAGGGTATTGCACCTCCTCTATGGCCCCAGCTTCCAACAGATTCCTCACTTCATCTGCCACCACTTCAGCATGATGCAAGGCTGAGCGGCGCATCCTTTGAATGACTGGCCGTGCATTAGGGAAGACATTCAACTGATGACAAATGAAGCTCGGGTCGATGCCAGGCATGTCGTAAGGCGTCCAGGCAAAGGCCTCCAAATTGGAAACCAAGAAGTTGACATAATCCATTTGTTTGGCGCTAGACAAGGATGATCCCAAAAGGAAGAATTTAGTTGGATCGTTCTCGTCAATGCACACTTCCACCAAATCTTCGACCGACTTTTCCTCGGCCTTTCTTCCTACGTCTTCAAGGACCTCTTTACCCTCGGGCCCTTTAATCATTTGGACGAACCCTTTGGCCGCTCGACTGCCATCTACCGCAATGAAGCATTGTTTCGCCATCACCTGGTCCCCCCAAACTTCCTTTATTTGTCCGCTTGGTGCCGGAAAGCGCATGACTTGGTGGAAGGTCGAAGCAACTGCTTGCATGGTGTGCAGCCAACCCCTGCCTAAGATCAAGTTGTAAATTGATGGAACTTTAAGCACCCAGAACTCTACTTGCTTTACGACCGATCCCGCTTTGACCGGCAAAATAATCTTTCCGATTGGCCATTCTGGCTGTGAGTTGAAGCCGACCAAAGGGGACGTTGCGAGGGCCAAGTCCTTGTCATCCAACTTCATTTGTTTAAACGCGTCATAATACATAATTTCTACCGAACTCCCCTGGTCGATCAAGATTCTCTTGATATCAAAGTCTTTGACGCGAAGAGTGACTACTAAAGCATCATTGTGCGGCATTTGAACTCTTTCCACGTCCTTGGTCGAGAATGAAAGGATGTCCCTTTCTTCGGTCTTTCCCTTCTTCACAGCGGGCTGAACAGAGAGCACTTCCCTCATGTGCTCGGCCTTCTTGATCATCCCTCTCAGCTCGCAGACCCTGGCCGGTTCAATGATACCGTGGATGACGTTGATTACACCTTGCGGGGGCGTTTCTAGGGTGGCCAGGCCGTTTGGCTCGGCTTGGTCCGCTGGCGTGGCCTTGATGCCCCCATCTATGTATTGGTCAAGATGCCCCGCCGCCACCAACTCCTCTAAGTGTTGTTTGAGCGGCAAGCAGTCCTCTGTTCGGTGCCCCCGTTCTTCATGAAAGGTGCAGCGACATTTTGAATTGAAGCCCCTCTGCGCACTCCCCAACTTGGCCGGCCAACGGACGAAGGGTTCACCTCGAATCTCGCTCAAAATGCGGTAGATGGGGATTTTAAATACCGTGGTGATCCCAGTCCGCGCCTTTAATTTTCTTTTGGCATCCTCCGCTGCATCACGGGGAGGGTCAGCCCGGTCGTTTCAGCGGCCCTTGTTTCTGTCATCACGGTTTGAACCATGGCGCTGGTCTTTCGACCGGTTGTTTGGGCGGTTATCCTCCTGCCCAACCGAGTGAACTTTCCCTGCAACCCTTCTGTCCACCGCGACCGGATTAGCCTTCTCGGTCGCGGAGGCAGCATCATCCTCCATACGAATGTGCTCATTGATCCGCTGCATCAATGACTCCATGGTTGTGGGTTGATGCATCGTGAGTGAATCTCGCAGCCTATGTCCGACTGGGAGACCCCGTTTGTACTGAGTGATCGCCAGATTGGTGGGGCAGTCAAGGATCTCATTGTAAGTTTTCCAGTATTTCGCATTGTATGCCTTCAACGAACATCTAGACTCCATCTTGACACCCAGGAGATGGTCGACCTCCTTCGGCGTTCGTGTGTTGGTTTTGAATCTGGTGACGAAGGCTTCCGCTAGTTGCTGCCACCCCTCAATACTCCCCTCCGGGAGCCTTTCGAACCACTTCAAACCCAGCTCTCCCAAGCTTGCCGGGAATATGAGGCACATCAAGGCGTCGTTGCGCCGGTGGCCAGCCATCACTTGCCGGTAATGGCTCATATGCATGTACGGATCTGTCTTGCCATCGTACAAAGTGAACTTTGGCTGGTGGAATCCGGCGGGGAGTGGTGTACTCTCAATCTTTGGAGACAGCGGCGTGGCTGTAAGTCGCGCCAGCTCTTTGTCCACCAGCGCAGGGGCTATTACTTTGGGGGCCGGCATCGCCACTTCCTCACTACAACTAACTGGAGCGCTCAACCTCTGCAATGCCGGCACTCTCCGAGCCTCCCGACGGCGCGCCCTCTCTTCCAATACATCCCTCAAGTCCCCGGAACATGTGGAGAAAGAGGATCCCGACGTCGGCGTCGGGCGTGAGGGGCGGTATTTGTCTAGCCGAGCATCAGGGAAGACATTCAACTGATGACAAATGAAGCTCGGGTCGATGCTAGGCATGTCGTAAGGCGTCCAGGAAAAGGCCTCCAAATTGGAAA